TATTCACGTCTAAAACACATATCGTCTTAAATCTTTTCCCGAGGTGTATCCCTTATGTATGAGAGGGAAAAAGGGGGAAAAAGAAGAAGGAGAAGAAGAAGGGGATCGAAAAGCGATGTGCAATTACTAGCGTGTCATTTCAACCCCTCCGATCGAAGCGACGAAGAAAGATAACGTGGCATGTCATGAAAGGAAAAGAGTTTCGGAAGTAACGTCACAAATGAATTTATCATCCTTTCTCTTACATATCTCGTATTATATTTCCGAGCTGCGCTAAACGACTGCGTTCTAGTCGGCCAATTGCGAAGGGTTTCCCTAATAAGAACTTTTCTAGAAGTGGGAATACGAGTGTACGTGTAAGATTACTTGGTTTCTGGCTTCACTTTTCGCGCAACACCGTCTCGACAATATACTTTGCGACGATGTGCCGGCCGGAATAGTTCAGTTCGACGGTTTTCAACAAAAAAAAAAGAAAAAAAGAAAAAAGAAAAAAAAAGAAGAAAACATTCGAGACTGTTTCTCAATTCGAAAAATTTTCAAACTTGCACGCTTGATTTTTATTTTTCAATGATTTTCAATCGTTTGTTCGTTTATTTTCAGTTTCTCCAAAAGGATATCATTGCACGTGCACTCAAGCACACGCAAGATTGTTGCCACACTTCTCTTCGTTTATTTTTTTTTACGAAATTCCGGGCAAAAGGATCGACTCGTTCTATCACTGTAACCATCCATCGTTTCAACATTTATGATTTACGAGACTTCGAGAGATATAAGACTGCACGACCCTTCGTTTCTTGAATTTGAATTTTTCTTTAATACGACGACGAACTGTCTTTTTTAAATATTTTATTGAACGTGAACAGAGAGACAGTGGAACACTTTGTGACTCGCAAATGGCATCATTTCTTATTGTGACAGTATTGGTGCGTGCGTGTTTATAAAAAGATATATCTGCATCGATAAACGTGAAAAAAAAAAAAAATATATATATATATATGATATTTAACAATTGCTTAACGTTACCTATTCGGTGAAAATCATGAGCATGATTAATTGTACAAGAACTTGACGAAGTGAAAGACCGAGTAAAATAAACCACGTGCTCAATTTGTACGAAGAATTAAGCATGTGTTAAAAATGTAATACTGTTTTTCATTATATTAAAAAAACAACGATATTTTTAACATTCATTTTAATATGTAAATAAATCGATTTCGTTCCAACGTATCTGTGCCAAAGGAAGAATTAATTTGTATTCGCAGCGTGAAGATAATTTTTCGAAGAGTGCTTCGCGCCTTTTAAAAATTACCTCTTTCTTTCATAAGATTTGATACTTGACACCCGATAATTTTTCGAAGAGTGCTTCACATTTCTTTTGTAGAAATTACTCTCGTATACTTTTTTCACGCTTGAAACGCAGAATAGACTATTTTTCGAACGACAAGTACTTTAAAGTTGAAACTTTTACTTCACGTACATTCTCAACTTGTTTTGTGTTTTGTGTTTTGTGTAACGATACGAAGAGATTAGTAGAGAAGGACGTGATTTCTACATTTTGTAACGAACGTACAATTCGTCGATTTAAAATGCTCGAAACAATTTGGCATGAGATGATACACAAAGATATGAGAACTTCGTGACATTTAAAGAAGAGAAATCGAAACGTCACGGATTTCCCAAATATAATACTTCAATGATATTACTCGATGTATCCTGAATGGTATATCAAAACTGGATGTTATTCACATGAAACATAAATCGCAGTAGTTTCGGTTCAAAGATCGGTAAAACTTTCATTTCGAACATTTTTGTTTGACTTCGATGTTTTATTAATTCTCGTTTCGTCTGACTGAATCGTACCAGTTCTAAGAATATTCAAAAAAAAAAAAAAAAAAAAAACCAAGCGCGAATTGGCAAGTGTCTTTGAAAAAGCAATTGCCAATTTAATCTTTTATCGACACGAATCGATAAAAGCGCGAAGAACCTATTTCCCTTGTCGCGCTATCTCCGAGCAAATCATTACATACTATCTCCTACCGCTTACTACGCTAGAAGAGAGAGAGAGAGAGAGAGAGA